TGACGGTAGAATCACAGACGACTGACGGTAGAATCACAGACGACTGACAGCAGAATCACAGACGAATGACGGTAGAATCACAGACGACTGACGGTAGAATCACAGGCGACTGAATGCAGAATCACAAACGACTGATGGCAGAATCACAGACGACTGACGGTAGAATCACAGACGACTGACAGCAGAATCACAGACGACTGACGGCAGAATCACAGACGACTGACGGTAGAATCACAGGCGACTGACGGCAGAATCACAGGCGACTGACGGTAGAATCACAGACAACTGAATGCAGAAGCACAGACGACTGACGGTAGAATCACAAGCGACTGACGGTAGAATCACAGACGACTGGCAAGACCAGGCCGTTAAATATAGGTCTTCTGACGACAAAAAAATGCCGTGGTAGTCTCAATAGTCTTGCTGTTAACTCGGGCGTACCATAAAATCTCCAAAACCGGAACTGGAATGGATGCAAAGAAATTAGCATGACTTCTTAAATGTTTCAAAGGTCGTACAGAATATAATGATTGCAGGTATGGCAAATGAAGATTTCCTATTAAGAGCACACATTAAGCTACTAACCCATGGCGCTGGTGGCCAGAGTATAAGTGGCTTGTGACCAGTTATTGAATTCAGACTATGACACCGAATGTGAATATTACCCCTAACGTAGGTAAACTAGAAATTCCCCCATTATCTTTATCATTGCCCCTCAAGTTATAAATTTTATAAATGCCCCCATGCTTTATCCTTGCATTCTTGACCACCACAAGAACTGTCGGCGCCTGAACCGTCAACATAGCGGTTCGCGCTATATGTATTAAAAGAGCTAGCGGCGTGTGTATTAAAACGCTTTAGTGTTGATTCGGAAATGAATTGTCAGAGAAAGTTTAAATAATAGCTGAACTATATCAATTTAGAGATATTTTAGGCGGTCAATAGCGCTATTTAATAAAAGTAATTTTAATAAGTTCTTGAAACCCGGAGAAACGCTGACGTGGGACTCGGCAAAGCTTGACATGAGGTCAAAGATTTCTTGTCCGTAATATTTTATTAATAACTCTTCCTCATTGAAATTCTGTACAATTCGTCTCTTCATAAACCAAGTTCTAAATCTTGAGTGGTTAAACATTTCAAATTCATGAAAATGGTACAAGCGTGTTATAGGCGTGTAATGAGCGGCAGTGTACGGCACATGTTCCACTCATGATTTATTAAAAGACACATTTATAGGCGTGTTATAGGCGTGTAATGAGCGGCAGTGTACGGCACATGTTCCACTCATGATTTATTTAAAAACACATTTATAGGCGTGTTATAGGCGTGTTATGAACGGCAGAGCACGGCAAATATTACTCAAGGTACATGTTCCTTGCATGACATCTAAGAAAGACTCTAGACACTCATACCTACGAGCAAATAAGTCCATTCACACGCAGGCTAGACAAAACCTGAACAGATTAGTGCTGTATTTTTATGCGAAAAATTCGACTGGCTTCATGATACAGCCGCTCTCAGCTACCGGCTAAGCATTACTGTATTTTAAAACAGAGAACATTCCATGATAATCTCAACTTCAGCAAAGAATTTGCCCGGACGCAAGCTATCAAATCCAGGATCGCGATATGAATGGAAATTAGGCCCGTTGATCGGGGCAAGTGGCGGGATGCAATCATTTTATTGCTACACCGACAGGGCCTTCGCATTTACGAAGGGAAATTTTGAAGGCAAACTGTACAATTCCGTCATTTTCTGATAGGTGCTTTATTTTTCACCCATTACGAGCGCTAGCCGTTGACTTCAGCCTTAAAAACTTGCCGCCATTTGAAGCGACTTGAGCCGACGCTTGCAACTCGATTTTGCCTCCGGGACCGCGGCCGCTTGAGTGCGACTGCCTGTGTTATTTGTGATCTAATTTCTTATTGCTTGTGTGAGTTGTGTCTTACATCGAACGATGAGCTTACGATGGACGTTAATTACTGCTATGGTGGTCAGTGAACGCCGTGCATGAGATGGACGTTACTGCTATGGTGGTCAGTGAACGCCGTGCATACGTTACTGCTATGGTGGTCAGTGAACGCCATGCATGAGATGAACGTTACTGCTATGGTGGTCAGTGAACGCCATGCATGAGATGAACGTTACTGCTATGGTGGTCAGTGAACGCCATGCATGAGATGAACGTTACTCATCCAAATGTCGAGTGTACTGCCCTGCAACTGCGCATAACTGCAGTGCGAAAGATGCGCGGCCTGCAGCTGCAATGATTAAATGCCGAAGCGAATTTTTTAATTGACTTCACAAATTGAGTAGTTCTCAAATGTCCAAACCATTGAATTTAATGCTGTTCATATAAAAATAGAATAAGATTGTTCAAAGTCCATGTCTCATTTGTAGCCATTCTTCGTTGGTCATTATTTTTGTGCCGCGATTTTGTAGAGTTTTTTTGTAGTGATTTGATACTTGCTTCGCATATTGACACAAAAAATTTTATTTCCTGAGCTTTACCACTTTGTTACCTTTAATTTTCAGAAATAATATTCTGGGATAGCTTCCGAAACTTAATTAGGTCCATGGTGAAGCACCCTGTGCTTCGATGTTGCTGTTAATTTCGTTAATTGTGACATTGAGACCGTGTGTTTATGATATTTTTTAATTATGTGTGATTATATTGGTAGTGATAACTCAGGTTCTCGGCTTACACCTCGATTGTTAATTTACGTTTAAGATTTTTTGTTTTGATTTCAGAAAGTCACTCCGTCGTTACGATTATTTAGTTCAGGTCGTGCTGGCTTTTTCATTATGTCTGCATCTTGGTTTATCATCGGCGTCTTCTATAACAATAGAGTAGCCAAAATACCACTCGCTCTACCCTGTTCGGTTGTAGTCTTGAAGTTCGGTCTGGTTAGGGCTGAAGTAATAACGGTCCAACATCACCATCACGCTAACAACTTGGCATATTTATTTCACTGTAAAATGCAGGAGTTGCTTCATGTTTTTCAAGTCTTAATTGTTCCCAGCCGACCCGAGGAATCCTCCTTCAGTATGCGGGAACTTCTCACAGTTGAGTCATATTTTAGAACTGAAATTAAGAACAAGAACTCAACAAGAGTTGAATGGCCTACTTGTGAGGAAGCGTCAGGCGGTTAGTCGACAGTATGCACAAAAAATTTTTTAAGCTTATTTGAGAAATTTTTGATGGTAGGCGATCATAGTAACAACAATCTGAATTAACATCTGCCGGAAAAATGTTTATTTACGTTTGATTATAATTATGATAAGCAGGACGAATGCCCCCTACTCACAGATGACACATAATCAGAGGCTGGGTAATCGAGCCTTTGTTTCTGGGTTGGCTTGGCAAGAGCTTGACTTATGTTGAAGAGATAATGTATTCAGAGGCACCATTTGGTCATCACTGTCCCTCCATAATTGATGAGGAAGCGTTAATGTCCCGCTTATCTGCTGCTGGCCGCGGTGCACTGCCCTCGTGTTGACAAACTGAGCAGACCTTGACGAGCTGGGCGCTCTTCTCCAACACTGAACGTCCTCCTTACAAAACCTATTGCTTCACTCCACTTATACGTAGAGATGACAGGGCTGCTTCTATACAACCAAACATTGTGAAAATTAAATTACCAAATAATATTAATAAATAAATAGAATTAAATATATTATATGCTAATTTAAATCACTTGAAATATTAATGAATTATTCCATCAATAAAGAATGCTGAATGAATTTCCTCCTAACTACGGTTGATGCGATATTAATTGCTTTCTTATCGTAACTTCGCAATTTCGCACCATGCATATGACTTTATATCAGCGTTTGTCAACGTTAAGCGTTTAAACGTTGAATTTAACTGTAATAAACGTCGTCATTAGTGATTTATCTCAGGGGTAGATTCCAGTGATCCCGAATTTTGAGTCCACGTAAGTCAAAACCTGCGTAAGGCAAATCATTTTAAATTTTCACGTTTTGCGAATATGAATATGTCTTATTCGCATTTGAATATGAATATAAGAAATAAGAATATATGCTTGCAGCGAGTGGACCATCAACTATAAACAAAGCGGCAAAATTTAAACGCCATGATTATGTTTGTGTAAGATTCATGGTCTGGAGCATTGAGGTACTCACGAAGAACTCTTCCTGCAGTAAAGTATAAGAGCGGGTGAGGCTCGCGTCATCTCACAAGACTGAAAAGATTGATGGGCAAACAGCGACTTCTTTTTTGTTTTCATGAGAATAAAAGACCAGTTTCACCATAAGGGGAAGAAAATGAAATACATTTTAATTTTTTTATCCGACAAAAGCCGACTGGTTGAGCCACATTGGCAATAATGAAGCCAGTTTTCTGCACAAATGAACTTGCTTTCTTTAGATGACCTCTGCCTCATTGCTTCCTCTCTCCATCTATACTTAA